GCTTAAGTGCTTCTTCCGATTAGCGCGGACGCAGAACCAGATTCTGGTTTGGGTTTTGGGTTGTTTACACATCCCACCAACAAGCACAATAAGTAGAGGTCAGTATGTGTGAAGTGCAGAAACCACTGTAAATACCGAGGGTTCCTGGACCTCGGAGAAAGCATTTGGAGACATAAGACTGTGGACGAACAAATGGCTAGAAGGCTGGGCTGGATCATGGGGAGGGGTGTGACCATATATATATATATGTATGTATATATACATAGAACTACGCTCGTTCTTCACTCCCCAATTAAACCCGAACAACAAGTTCGGGTGGGCTTGAAGCCCCGGGAATTTGACCATCCCCTATGCCCGGGAGAGAGAGAGAGAGAGAGAGAGAGACAGACAGACAGACAGATAATTAGATAGATGGATGGATACAGAGGAAGGCAGCTAGACTCATAGACAGATAAACAGAAAGGCAGATAGACAGACAGATAGGTGCGTGTAATGGTAAGCATATAAGAACAGGCATGCATGGATACACATGCACTCGTTCGATTAAGTTCGCGATGATCGCAGGCACGGCCGCATATGACAGCATGCTTTATGGTTGTCTGTTTGTCCAGCTGCTTCTCCTTCCTCAAGAAATGTTTCGTCAGGTTTTCCGTCGATTCGACCTATGCCATTTTTGACCGTGCTACAATGTAACGAAGCGGCGGTAACAGCAACAGCAGCTGCCGCGCAGGACGAAGAGGATGAGGCATAATCGGCTGTGCAAGCAGGACTCAGAATACGACAGGACGCGAAGGAGCGGAAGAAGCAGCATCAACAGCAGGCGTCGTTTTCCTGGTTCTGCTGCCGTCATCGTTGTTGCATGACTCGCACGTGTTTGTCAGAGCGGCGACACCAGAGGCACCTGCCAAGCAACCACCGAAGGCCCTGGAAGCACCGCCGCCGACGCAGGCACCAGACTGCGGGGTTCACTTGGGAGGTCTGGTTGCTGCTGGTTTGAGATTTTGGGAGTTTTGCTTGTCCTGTAGGGTTCCAATGTTGTTTCCAACTTGCGAAGCGACTTTGAACCATGTTTGTGAAAGTTCTTTCAAGTGGACGGAAGCGCATACTATCCATGACACTGACAGAAGCAATATCGGTGCTAGTAATAGCAACGGTCCTTGTAGTAGTCGTCGTCGTAGTGGTGGTAGTAGTAGTAGTAGTGGTAGTAATAGTAGTAGTAGTAGTAGTAGTAGTAGCAGTAGTAGTAGTAGTAGTAGTAGTAGTAGTAGTAGTAGTGGTAGTGGTAGAAGTAGTAGTAGTAGTAGTAGTAGTAGTAGCAGTAGTAGCAGTAGTAGTAGTAGTAGTAGTAGTAGTAGTAGTGGTGGTAGTAGTAGAAGTAGTAGCAGAGATCGGAAGAG